TGGTCGTCGAGAAGTTTTCTCATACTGAACCGAGGATGAAATAGAATTATTTACTAAAATCTTTATAGGTGAAATTCTATTAGGTGAAGGAAAGGGCTTACCTAAGCTCGATCCTGGCATAGCACTATTCAAGCCATCCGCGGAGATCTCCTCCATAATATCGGATGACTTATGTTTCTTACTGGCTTTATTATTGTCACGATCTGCACAGAGGAACGCATGAGGCTCCACCATCACTGGCAAAGGCCCTCGGGACAACAGCAACGACGATGGATTAGGCGACGACAAGGGGCGAGGCGATGACGGTCGAGGCCGAGGAGACTGCAAAATATTATTATTATTATTAGTTTCAAAAAGCATTTCATCGTCAGAGTGATAAGAAATAGGAGGAAGAGAGGCGGCAATTTGGTTAAGGCATTCTTCGTCATTATTAACAGGAGGAATGTTAGGATATGTAAGGGAAGGATAAGATATTTGACTGAGGGAGGGATAGTTCCCCCCCCGGGTCTTGTATAGACATAAAATTATTCACCAATTTATGTTAATCTTGCCACGTGATTAACACGTAGCAGTCAAAATGGCGGACCGCTATTGCGCCGAATTTTCCGCAAGATACGGTCTTCTCAGGCCGAACTGGCCGTACTCCCTCGTTACAAGCCACGCACGAAATACAGTGTTCGCGATTTTCAAAAATAGTGCGAGATTTCCTTTAAGAAGGGAATTGAATGCTTCATAGTATAAGGAACAAGCCTCAAGTTCGTCCGTTCGCCTAGACCGCAGGAACAAGCCTCTCACCTTTAAGGTACAATTTCATGATGTCGCTTGTCGCAGCGATGAGTGGTCACGTGACCGAATTTTCCTCCACTTTTGACTGCTTTCTTGTCGCCAGCGACGCTGCTGAAAAGTTGGATTGAACCCAACTTTTAGCGACATCGTTCTCGTGCAATAATTAGTGCTAATTAATTTGAACATGGAAGATGTAAGTATAATAAATAAATAAAGATTTTTTAAATACATATTTATTAGAATAAAAATATCAGGATTAATATAATTGTAGTATCATACTCAGAAAAATCCAGCTTATTATAATTTTAAGGTTGTAACGATGCACCCCAGAATGCATCGTTTCCCGGCAAACATCAGCCGGAAGCTGCCGCCCGACGACCACCGGTCGGGCAGAGGCAGAGGGCTGTGTGCCCACTTTTTTGACTTTAGCAAAAACCGGGTAGGAAGTCCGACAGAACATCGTCGGCCGGGAGCCGCCGATTGAGAACCGCACGCGGCATCCCGAACACCGTCACCGGGAGCCGCCGAATGAGAACCCCGCGACGAATATACCGTTATTTTTTCCGTCGCCCGGTGGGAGTTAATAACAAATACGCCGGCGCGTGCCGTAATTAGCAGTATAAAATGGGCTCCCGGTGACACTTGAGATCAGATCCTTCCGATCCTCCTAACCGAGCTAGTCTGAAGGCAAGCTGCGAGACAAAGAGGAATCCTGCGAAAACAGAAGGCCAGAAGGTAGTGCGAACGCTGCCTCCGCCGATTGATATCGGTGCTTTCAAAATCGCCTCCGAATATACTTCAGGCGTCGCATCTATCCCGAGGTGGAACACGAGCCGCCTCCGACGCTTGCTAGCGTCGCGACGCCATCCTACTCCTAATATCCTTCGGAAACAAATAATATTTAAAGAGCCATCCCACCGGGCTTAACCACTGACTCAAACAACCGTAAGCGAGCGCAATAAACCCGCGCGAAAAACGCGCACGACAAGAAATTTATCGAACGCATCGAATACCGGGAACCGCACGGTTGCATCCAGCCGAAATTATAATTTACATACTCCGGTATTGCGACCATATCCTCGCCTGTTAGTCAAGACCCGAGGCACGACTGCTACTATTGTTACCGTAATTAGATAGTTTATACTTATATCGCGCCTCACCACCGCCGCTCCGAGCGAACAACGATTTATCGATCTATCGCGCTTTAACACTCGCGACGACCAAATCAACACAGCTCAGATCAGCACACACTTATAAACATATACACTGTGACGTGGCCGTCACGTCGCGTACATCCGCCCCGGCAATCTTGACGGGGCGCGGACCGAGTGGCCGCGTCAAGGGTCAAGAGAGAGAGAGAACTATCGCGCTCCCCGGAGAGACGAGCGAATTAGTGTAATTGCGTGTAGTATTAATTCCTTTTTTATTATTTTGTATCATCGTCAGCTTGAGGCGCCTCACCATCGAACACCGAAGAACAGGGGAGAGCAGCATCGCCTCCCCGCGACAGCTAAGGACGACAGCCGAAGGGAAACTCATAAGAGCCGAGGATCCTGGCCCAGGGAGCCCTGCATCATGAACCCGGGCAGGGGAGAGCCGCATCGCCTCCCCACGATTGCCGGAAGCGACAGCCGTAGCGACAGCCATCCTCCAGGGGAGGATACGTCCGTGAAGGACCGCACCCGGGCCATATAAGGGCCCGCAACGGCATTCAAGCTTGGCGCTATTTCGCGCGGGGCGCGAAAATGCCTCGCGTGGCGCGCGAGGCGCCAGGACCTCGCGCGTGTCGGCCGCTAATTGGCCGGGGGTCCGCGCATCCCCCTGCGCGGCCAACGACCCCGCTATCGACCCTGGATCGCGAGATCCAGGGCTCACTCTGTCGCAGCCACTCGCCTAAACCAGTCGCGGACTAATTTTTTGGTGTGAGCTCGTGAGACGGACAAGAACTTGGAGGACGAGGCCGAGGATCATCCCCACAGCAGGAGGAGCTCCGTCGGTGAGGTTGCCCACGAATTACTGTACTCCGCGAGCGTGATCGTGTCCGCTCGCCGGCCGTTCTGTCGCCGTCGCCATTACGGCTTATCGCGACCGCTCGAGCCTTCTGCCGAGTCGGTCGATTTTGTGTATTTCGGGCGACTGGAGACAAGCGACCGAGGAAGCGCGGACACTGGCGACGGAAGTGCGTATCGTAGGGTAATTCTCGTCTCTCTCCGGGTATCAGGGTGCGTAATACGCGTAGCATCCGACCATCGGGTATCGACCGCGTGCGTCGTAAATCGCGAGAAATGCGTAGTTCGTACGGGCTGTCGTTTGGTTGTCGAAGCCGCGTCTCGCACCTCTGAAATATGTCTCAGAGCGAGTCTGTGGAAGTAATTATTCGTGATTAATGAGTCTTCGTGTATTTTAATCGTTCGTGAATCTGGCGCGAACCTGAGTATTATTGTCGCGTCTATTGTGTGCGTGTGAGTTATTCGTCTCGCAAGAAGGAACGTAATTCCTCGAAATTGTCGCGGTGTGCGGGTATCGCACGATTCTAAGTATTGAGATCTGAGATCAGGAAATCCCTGGCGAATATCGCGGCTGTCGAAGGAGGCGCGGTGCGGGACTGTCGCCCGGCCTTCCTTATTTCCTTAGTGTCTTAAGACGAGAAGCTAATTACTTCTCACGCTGTCGAAGGTATCGGGGGTGTGACACGACATTGTCGCATCGCCCCGATTGCCAGAAAGAGTTGAGTTGCGAGCGTCGCAGCAAAAGGCGGAAAAATCTCCGACCGCCGCCGGCTAACGAACTTCGCCATCGTCCGCCCATCGTGTGCGAGATCTCTCCTCGCGGAATTCATATGTTTTCGCTTATTGCGTAACTAGTCGGCCGTGTTATTTCTGGGTTGTCGACTTCGAGTACGCTCGGAGGAAATTGCGAGATACGCAGCTAATTATTAAGATCTCCGCGAGGCTGTCGAAGCTGTGAATTATAGGCCGGTATGATCGCTCTCTCTCTCTCTCTCGCGTAAGATACGACCGTTACTGAGAATTCGAATTATCAAATTCAGTTACATCAATTATTGTTCTCCGGAGCTTCGACTTTAGGAAGCCGCCGTAACAGACGTTCTTTGTTAGACCGACCGAGAATATCGCGCGATTTTCGAGCGTTTCGAGAATCATTGTCCGTTCATGTCTAGTACGTTATTTCTGTTTTCATTCTGTAGCGATTTTTACTTCTTTTTGTTAATCACTTTTCTGATTATCTACGTTCTTAATAAACCTGTTATTTTCTTATTTATTAAATCTCGCGTTCTTTATTTGACTGGCGATCGTCCGTAATTTCTGTGTTCGTCTTTGTCTGTTAATTTAGTAAGCTCGCTCAATCAATTCACTTTTTCTTGCAAACCCCGCCCCTCTACCGTTAGGCGAGCTAGCCAGCCCGTGGCGAAGCGGGCTGTCGTATTCTTTCGCGTTTTTCGAAGAATTCGTGAAACTGGTACGTGAGAGACCGTACCTGGGGCCCAGTTCTGAGGTAACGAGACGGCCTTCGCTCCGCCGCGGCTCGCGCGCGGACAACCTCCATCCCTGTCCCGCCGATCGCGAGTACATAAAACCCTTGTGTTTTGACGGCGCTTCCGCTCCCCCGCGAGAATCAAAATTTAGAATTGAAAAAGCGTCGCAACACATACACACACACACACACACACACATTTGTACCGCCTACATATACAAATAAACGCATCATTTAAGCACACGTGCATCTTATTCTTATACCTGGAACCGACGGCTATCCGCAATCAGAAATTCGCGGTACGGGAAAAACCGTGCGTTACAAGGTTAACAAACTGAAAATAAATAAATATGGTTAAAATTGTAATTTTATGGAATTTTTAGATAACTGTACATACTTGTGGCATATGTGAAATGATTATTGACTAAAATAATATTCCGACTCATGTTTGTATGGAAGGATATACCCGATTCTTCATTGATGAGAATTTTTATTTCTATCCAATAACAGGTATAATATTTGTATATATACACTTAATTTTTATATTTTATCATTGAAAAGTGTAGAATTTTTGTCAATAAAAATTTTATTTCATTTCTTAGTTTTTACAATTTTTGGTCGCCAAGTTAATCTTGGCAAAGACTTAGTTATTTTTAATTTTCCTAGTCTTTCTCCTCTGCTATTGTAGGGTTCAGTCTGGGTTCCTCTTGATCGTCTGTTCGATGAACGAGGTGTTCTTGGCGGAGAGGAACGGGGCGTTGCAGGAATCGGGGAAAATGTCCTCTCAGAAAGGTCTATAGGGATCAGTCTCCAGGGAAGAAATTGAATAATCTTCCATGGATCTGTTGTCATTTGGAACTGATAGGAAGATCTCGAAGATCCGAAGATCTGGAAGGTCTCGAAGATGAGGAAGATCTCGAGGTTCTGAAGGTCTCGATGATCAGGAAGATCTCGAGAATTTCGAGGATTTGGAAGGTCTCGGTGATCAGGAAGATCTCGAGGATTCCGAGGATCTGGAAGGTCTCGGTGATCAGGAAGATTTCGAGGATTCCGAGGATCTGGAAGGTCTCGGTGATCAGGAAGATCTCGAGGATTCCGAGGATCTGGAAGGTCTCGGTGATCAGGAAGATCTCGAGGATTCCGAGGATCTGGAAGGTCTCGGTGATCAGGAAGATCTCGAGAATTCCGAGGATCTGGAAGGTCTCGGTGATCAGGAAGATCTCGAGGATTCCGAGGATCTGGAAGGTCTCGGTGATCAGGAAGATCTCGAGGATCCCGAAGATCTGGAAGGTTTCGGTGATAAGGTAGACCGCAAGGGTTTTTAAAAAGAGCAAAAAATTATTCGCTGAGTAGCTAGAAGCTATTTCTGCGAGGTTACAAGAAGGGTGAAAAGTCGTCGATCGCATCTTCTTATATACTTCTTATACTTTCCAATGTTTTTCAATAGCGAGAAAATTATCTTAATCTGTCGCGCCTTTCAGCGGCATTAATTATAATTGAGATTGCGCCAACTTCATTACGCCGGTCAGCGCTTCCTGAGACCGCGCTCGATGTGGCGAGCGTCAGAGACGCCACAAAAAGAATAGTATTCTAAATTTATACTATTATTTGTAGACGACAATAAGATTATTCGACGCAGCCTGGTCAACAACGAAGAAATTGTATTGCTTGTTCGTGAGAACATTCCAGGTAAATAAAAGTTTGATTAAAATCCTGAACGTTGCAGAGATTTTGCATTTTCTATCTAATGAAATTGATTTTAGGAACTATTAAAATACTCTCGCCAGTAAATAGAGAAACACAAGCGAAAAATGAAAATAGATCTCGCAATAAAAAAGAAGCAAATCGAAGAAGCAAATGTACATTAAATTATGACGATGAGGAATTATTAATTTTATCTGTTCAAGAAAAAAGACCCCTCTGGGATTTTACTGTTTCAGTAGAACAATGAAGCCAACGATTGACAAAAAAACGGTGGGATGAAGTATCTGAAATATTGGGAGGTAAAAAAGACATTAAGAATATTCGCAGTTGAAATACTTACAGTAGAGAAAAATTTCTCTTACAGGTAAACTTAGCAGAGAAGAAGCCAAAAAAAATTTAAAAACTTACATGACGCCTATCGACGAATAATTCATTCTGAAAATCATCCTAGTGAATCAGCAAGACCTCCCCCTACAAAAAAATGACATCATTATGATTCCATGGAGTTTCTACGCGACTTATGCCTTGTCAAAAAGTAAAAATTAAATATTTTCATTATGTGCGCTTTTAAACTGTTTATTAATTTATATTTATATTTTTAGGGGAAAAGCTTCCAATATTGATATGATGATGATTCTTTAAGTATTAATGAATCAATAAATAATGATCCATTTGATGACAATGATCAATCAGAATCAAAAGCATCAGGTACTTGACCTACATTAATATCTGTCGAAATGTTTTATGTCAAGTAGTTTCTGCAGAAGTGTATTCAGACCTCGACAAAAAAAGCAGAAAACAGGAAAGCTATAGCCAATCATAATTTACGCAGATAGTAAGCAGTACAACAGAAAGTTTTTACCATAAAATCTGATTGGCTATTGCTTTTCTGTTTTCTGTCGAGATCTGAATGTGCTCTAATTACATTAATAACAATAATAATAAACTAATAAATTGCAGGTGTGCCAATTAAAAGAAAGAAGAGTTCAGGACAGCAGTCCAGTGGACTTGAAAGAATTGCTGATTCGCTTTGTTAATCACCAACTCCATTTGTAATACCAACACCACCCAAATCCGATGAAATTGATTCTACCTTATCAGTTATTAGATCTAGGTTGAGACAGATGAATCGAGAAACTCAGTTAGATGCCGTTCAACAAATAATGAATCTAACTTATGCAATATTTAAAAAAGGAAATTAAGCCTTACCGATCATCATATTTTTCCAGTCAAAAACATGTTAAGTTTTTGATTGTAAAAATAGAGTGATCAATAAAAAACTATGTTAGATTTTGTTGTTCAATTTATAGTTTTAATTCTATTATTTAAATCTGTTTTTGTTTCATTCAAATATATATTTTATATTTAATATCAAATAAAAATTTTATATATAATGTTTATAATAATGTTTATAATTAATAAAGTTTTGCTTCTAATATTTATACATATATCAATATTTAAATTTATAAACTAATATTTATATACAGATATTTACATTTATATATATTTACATTTACATACATTTATATACAACATTTACAGAATCACAAGTACTAACAATGATTGAATTGCCATGGCATCTTCACTATTAAAATATTTGCAAAATTCTCCTCAAATCTGCATTGCTCGACGAGAACTATTATTAGAACCGCATTGAGTTATGTCCATGAATGCACTATTATCCATGCAACTTCTCCAAGAGCCTGGAACAAAGCCGTCTTCATCTTCATGATCAATTAATGTTGGAGTCACATATTCATTTTCTCCAATATCCCTTCAACGAATTCAATTATGGAGGCATACGATAGCTTTAACAATGGAAATTGTTTTTTCCCCATACTACAATTTATCGGGCGCTTCAATATTCTCCATTGGCTGACTAGGATACCAAATGCATTCTCAATTGTTCTCCTAGCTCGACTTAATCGATAATTAAAAATATTTCGCTTGTCATTTAAACCGCCTTTTCCTGGATAAGGCTGAAGCAAATAATTCGTTAATTGAAAGGCTTCGTCGCCCACCAGAACATATGGTAAAGACGATCCACCTGGGCTGAGAGGTTCTAGTACAAGTACATTTATTTCATTAGAATGAAATTTTAGACCCATCTTTGAGTTTCTAAAAATTCCACCGTCATTGCGACGACCATAGGCTCCTATATTGACGAACGTAAAGATATATTGTGCATCACAAATTCCTAGGAGCACAATACTGTGACTATTCTTATAGTTATAATAAGATGATCTTGCATTTGGTGGACACTGAAAAAAAGAATATTCATTTAGACATCAATTTTATAATCTCCAATGATAAATATACAGGGTGACCGATTTATCTGAAGACATTGAAATATCTCGAGAACTATGTGTTATAGTCCGAAAGACTATAACTTATTATTTCATTGATAATATTAATAGAATATTCGCGAACCGCGCAAAACCGCTACCTCAGCAAACCACGCATAAGAACGTTCGCCGGAAACGCGAAAACACTAACGAAGGGATTCGACTTTGAACCTCCTTCGCTTGCACTTAGACTTTGGACGCCACGAAAAACCTCCATGACCATACATGGTCATGTCGCTAGGCGATCCCCTCCAAAACACCTCCAAAAGCGAGGGAATAAAAGCCGTCCACGGCGGATAGTCGTTAATCACAAAACAATCGTTAATAGTGCGAAACCGAGGGCTAATCGCTATACTGCGCGACGAATCACTCAACGAAATTGCTAAACACTCTAAATCTGAGAACAAAGCGATTCAGGAAAGGACGAAGAGAAGGCTCGAAAGAAACTGATTAATATCAAATAATAATTAATATCAAATCGAATATATTTGTAGCGAAGAGTTATATAATAAAATTGTTGCAAAAGCGACATTTTGGAAGAATTGGTTGAAGATCCACGGCTACCCCACATCCCGTGCCGTGCCGGGCACAACATTCTGGTGGCAGCGATGGGATAGCCGAGATACCAAGGACCAGTAAAATTCCTTAACGCCTGCAACAAAAAGAAAATACAAAATTAATAAACTGGAGAGAGCAACTGCTATATTAAAGCAGATAGACTCAACCAGTACGCAACACATACGGACGACAGTGATAAAGAAATCACGGCCAAGCAGCTGAAAGCCGAAAGGAAACCACAGCGCTCAAGGACCAACGTCGATCCATAGCCAAGGCAACGCAACGCAGACGTATAACGCAACGCAGACGGACAACGCATCGCCGACGGATGACGCATCAACGCGGGACAACGACCCACCAGCAGCATCAACAGTCGAGCGATACGATAAGCGACTCGATAAGTTATGACCATGCGAATCACCGTATTACTACTGTAAGTCGAACTTTATTTAAATGTCAGCACTGTCAAAACAAGTAAAATTTAAAAGTCCGCGATTTTTGAGCGTGCCAGCGCGATTGGCAAATAAATTCGAAATTGTAACTCCGATACGAGTAGCAGAAGAGGCTGCTCGCGATATTCGTAGAAGCGTGCGGAAAAATTTAGAAGAACATTATTCGAGTTTCTGATTCATCCGAGGAACACGAAACGAGTAATAACGATAATTCAGTACAAGACGGACCAAGTCGCGTTACAGTACGAAGAAATTATTCGCTGATATTAGTTGATATTAGTTTATTCAAGCCACGTGCAAATATGGATAACGAAGCCGTCGATAGAGAAATCGAGCGCATGCGAGCGCAGCAAACCGAACTAAACGTAGCCGCGGCCTATGAAGACGCAGATCAGCCGGCCGAAGAAACGAGTAACGTATTACTCGCCGAACTCGTATACAGTTTCCGCGAAATGCAAACCGAAATGCAGTACATGCGCGAACAAATGCGAAATATACAAACCGCACAAACAAACTTAAACGGAACGCGAGTAAATGCAAACACTGTCCCACTCGACGTAACGTACGGACGCACTCAACGCGATATCCGAAACCGACGCAGCACAGCCCCGCACTATGTACCATTAAAAGAAGCGTGAACAATGATTCCCGAAGAGAAGCGCGTTATCTATCCACGCTCGACTTAAAAAGTGGATATTGGCAGGTTCCGTTCGCACAGGAAAGCCGACCATTGATCGCGTTCACGATTCCAGGGAAGGGGCTGTATCAGTTTACAGTTATGCCGTTCGGGCTGCATTCGGCACCAGCTACGTTCCAAAGATTGCTAGATACAGTCCTCGGGCCGGATTTAGAACCGTATGTATTTGTCTATTTAGATGACATTATCATAATTAGTAAAACGTTCAACGAACATCTCGAGCTGCTCGCCGAGACCTTCCGCCGCCTTCGAAACGCTCAATTACGGCTGAACCCTGACAAGTGCAAATTCTGCGTAGACAAGCTAAAATATCTGAGACACATTATCGACAGGGAAGGGATCCGGACAGACCCCGAAAAGATTAGCGCAGTGGCTAATTGACCAGAACCGCGGACAGTCAAGCAAATTCGGCAGTTTATCGGGATGGCCTCATGGTACCGGCGGTACCATGTATTTATTGCGGGTTTCTCCGAAATAGCCGCGCCGCTAACACGACTTACAAAAAAAAAACGCGCGCTGGGCGTGGGGTGAAGAGCAAGAAAAGGCCTTTCACTCACTAAAGGAAAAACTAGTCTCCGCTCCAGTTTTAGCCTGTCCGGACAAAGCGATTCATGTTGCAAACCGACGCAAGCACCCCCGGTCTCGGTGCGATGCTGATGCAGTAACATGAGGACGGAGAAAGGGTGATAGCATATGCGAGCCAAACATTAAACGCGGCGGAACGAAACTACACTGCAACGGAACTCGAATGCCTGGCAATCGTCTGGGGAATCCGGCGGATGAAAAGTTATCTAGAAGGCTATGCCTTTACCGTCATAATCGACCATCAGGCCCTAAAATGGCTGCAAAAATTAGAATCACCGACCGGACGCTGGGTATTCGAGTTACAGCAATACGAATTCGATATCAAATACCGCCGGGGGGTTCAGAATCGCGTGGCAAACGCGCTGTCACGCTGCCCAGAAATTTGCGCCGTAAAACAAAATAGAAGATGCAGCTGGTACGACCGAATAATGAAAGAAGTGCGCCAGAATCCAGCCTCCAGACCAGACTACAAGATCAAGGAAGGGAGATTATATCGACACATCCTGCATACACTAAATTTCAAGGATATAAGCAGCGACGCCCAGTGGAAGGTATGTATCCCAACACCGATTCGACAACAAGTTCTCCGAAAGTACCATGACGAACCAACAGCTGGACATCTCGGGCATCGCGAAGACCATAGCGAGAATTGCCGAGGGATACTACTGGCCAGGGATGTTTCGCGACATCACGAAATATGTTCGGAATTGCAAGAACTGTCAGAGTTACAAGGCGTCTCAGGAAAGGCCGGCGGGAAAACTACACGCAACAGAGGTTAAAAGACCCTGGTAGCAGGTCTGTATCGACCTTATCGGTCCAATGCCAAGATCAAAAAAGGGGTATACATGGCTTTTAGTCATGCAAGACCGATTCACAAAATGGACCGAACTAGTGCCTCTACGCCGAGCCACAGCCGAACGCAGGCCGTAACGCAGGCCGTAACGAATAGCATAATTCTACGACACCGGAAAACCAGAAGTCATCTTATCAGACAACGGCACCCAGTTACGTTCAAAACAATTAGAGCAGAGATTAAAGGAATGCAACGTGAAGCACGTGACGACAGCGTACGCACCACATTGCAACCCAGTAGAAAGGACCAACCGATCTATAAAAACAATGGTCAGCCAATATATCGGAAAAGACCAAAAAACCTGGGATGAAAAATTAAACGCGATCCAGTTCGCATATAATACAGCCGTTCACGACGCCACAAGATACACACCAGCGTTTTTTAATTACGTCCGCGAATTGACTTCACCCGTGGACGACAACCCGTCGGATGAACAAGCACCCGCTCCGGAAACAATTCAAAGACAGCTGCAAGAGGCGAACGAGCTGGTGAAAATTAATCTCGCACGAGCTTTCGAAAAGCAAAAGCATTTTTACGACCTAAGGAGAAGAGCCTGGAAACCGCAGGTGGGCGACTGGGTGTGGAAAAAGGGTCATCAACTCTCGAATAAAGCAACTAATTTTAATGCAAAGCTGGCGCCGAAATACGACGAGCCATACGAAATACGTCAGGTGATCGTTCTCGCCGGTAATCGTGGATCTCCGTAGCAGGCGAGGAAAGTGGCTCCGGTATATACACGTTCAAGATTTGAAAACGGCGAAAAACGACACCGAGGACGAGGATAACGACAATAACAACAACAACGACGAGAGCGAGTGACTTGAGCAACGCAAGTCACTTCATTTCGAGATGTCGAACAGTGAAGATATCCTACGAGCAATCAGCGAATACCTCGGAGAGCCAGCCGAGGAGGAAGCGCTGCCCGCGCCACCGGTTCCGCCACCCGAGCCGCACCAGCAGCCACCACCGCCGCGGCCGCCGAGGGTCGAGACAATCGTGCAGAGATCCGACCGGGTCAACGAGCTAAAGCGGCAAATGTTCTTGGCCCAACCGCCGCCACCACCTGGGCGTAGGCCGATCCGGCCGTTTGAGAAGCCGCTGAAACCGCTGCAAAAACCCGCAGCCGAGACGCAACCACAGGAGGAGATCCTGCGGCCAATGAGGCCGATGACAGCACCAGCCATCAAGGTGGAAATAGAGTCCCGCCTTATCGTGGAGGTACCGCATTTCGCGGTGCATGTGAGCCGGCGCTACAAGCCGAGGACTTCGCAGAGGCGATGGATCCTGCGATTTTCAGGGGACGGAAAGCTCTGCTACAAATGGAGGATAAACTAGAGCCGTTCATCCCAGAGGATCCACTCGTCCGACCGTCCAGCAGTCCGAACACCGAGCTTAACGTGTGCCTCAAATTCAGGCACAATTCGAAGGGGGGGGATGATGTAACGATGCACCCCGTGCACCCCTTAAATCGCATTATTATACCCGGCATGCGATTCGCCGGAAGCTGCCGTCCGGCAGAACATCCGCCGGGCAAAGACAGGGGCGCGGTGCGCCCACATTTTTTTAAACGTTGTAAAACATCTCGAACGGGCGTTAAGCCGTTAATTGTCGAGCCGGAAAACACCGGAAATTGCCGAAGCGCCCCGAACCGCTGACCGGCGAAAGCCCGCGTTCGGCGCAATATCCGAACCCCTCCGAACGAGCCTGACCGTACTGTTTTCCCGAAACCCGTTTGGAAGAGGTAATGCCGCCGCGCGCTGATGCGTGGGTAATTAGCCGGTATAAAAAGGACGTATTCGGCAATCTAATCACCTTTTCCGATTCCGATCACGCAAGTGAAACGTCTCGCAATCCAGAACCACTCCTAGCAAAAAGCCGAATTTAAAACAGAGGTAGAGAGCACTCTTCCTCTATCGAGAACTCTCGATTATAAACCGGCAATCCATCTAGCCGCTTTTTCCGACCGCAAAACGAACCCGAGCGCACTCCGGTTCGGCCGAGAGATCTCGGTAACACGGTCCAGCATCCAACCGCCTAACGTTGTGCATTATATCTCGAGGCAGAGAGGAGAGCTGCCTCGGACGAGTATTTCTCGTCGGCACGTTTCCTAGAAACTTTCCCTCAATACCGGGAATTTCATTCATATTTCCGCCGAAGGCGCGTACACCGAATTTACCCGGCGATTCGCAGAAACGCCTGCGAAAAATCCACAAAAACACGGCTAGACCTACCGCCAGACACGCGCGCATAGAAAAACGCGACGCACACCGTCAACAGTCATTCACCGCGCCCAGACGTAAACACGCGCGGCGTACGAAGCATTGTATAAAGTATTGTTGCACTTCTGATAATAACCGCTGCATTTGTATTACGCGATACCGATTAATTATATAAATACATATATTTTGAATAATATTCGTGCGACTCAACACAGTCTCGGGCGAAATCAGCTAACACAATCACGTGTGCCGTTATAACTCGATCTCCGCGCAGCGAAATCTTTAACACGCATCGCGCTTCGTGCAATTCACACGCATATTGCAACACACACATCTCACATATACACTGTAACACACACACACACACACACACTCACACAAACACACTGTAAGCTATTATAATAAAGTCTTTTTTTTTCACATACACGCTCTCGTTATCAGTAAAATCCACGAACGAATCCTGATCCCGACTCCAGCTATCCGACGGCGATTCACGCGGAATTCGCCCGTGACAAGAGAAAGACTACGCGCAACAAATCAACTCGCAAAAGAACACATAAAAGAAGAAAAGTTTAAAGCCAAGAAACAATACGATAAAAATACAAAAGAAACACAATTTAAAATAGGAGACAAAGTATTAGAGTATGACGAAACACTACAACGCGGAAGATCGAAAAACTAGAGTCATTATGGACAGGACCATATACGATTTTAGAAAAGAACTCCGACGTAAATTATACAATAAAAAAGGGAAGGAAAACGCTACGCGTGCACACAAACAAATTAAAACTATTTATAGAACACTAAAAATAAATACACACTAATAATAAAAAATTCATTTACCCATGCTGGCGACCGCGGCCAAGGCCCATAGAAAGCAATTGTTCCGGAGGAAGACGCTAAAAGGCGCGGACCCTCCCCCTGGGCACCGCGTTCTGGCCACTCCGGCCCAAGCGCAAGAGACGCTCCACGCGACGATGCGCCCACAACTCTGCGAATTCCTGGGCCTCCTGCGCCCGCAAAATGTCTAAAATGTCCCATATGGAGGGCAAGATGCTCTTAGGGTAGGGCACGACTTCGTGTACCACCAGTGCACACCAGTGTTCACATTCACGACTATACACAATGATAGCGGGTTGTTTGCATAGACGCACAAACATGCCCGCTCAAAACGATCGCGCGGTAAAGATGGACCAACAACCGATTATAATAACAAATTTGCGTATATAAAAATAGAGAATAAGCTAATGATTGTAAATAAAGAAATGCATACCTACCTAAGCCTAACGAAACAAGATCTAACTAATTGTATAGATAAATATAAGCAATATATATGCGAAAGCAGTCATCCGACATATCATTTAAATATAAATACGCCTTGCGAAATGAAAATATATGTATACGAAACAGATTATCGCGAATATTGTAACATAAAACACGTAACAGTAAATCATACGGAATGAGAGACCAATATTAAAAAGAACTAAGAGCACACGATTTTAGAATAAATAAATTTTAATTTAAGAAACGATTATAATGAATATTGTACACGGAAAATATATTGTATTTAAAATAAGGATAGGCATATGTACATTTAGAAGATAGAAAAACTCCGTTTACAACCTCCGTTTTTCTTTTCCACCGAGGGAGGGATGTTATAGTCCGAAAGACTATAACTTATTATTTCATTGATAATATTAATAGAATATTCGCGAACCGTGCAAAACCGCTACCTCAGCGAACCACGCGTAAGAACGTTCGCCGGAAATGCGAAAACGCTAACGAAGGGATTCGACTTTGAACCTCCTTCGCTTACACTTAGACTTTGGACGCCACGAAAAACCTCCATGACCATACATGGTCATGTCGCTAGGCGATCCCCTCCAAAACACCCCAAAATCGAGGGAATAAAAGTCGTCCACGGCGGACAGACGTTAATCACAAAACAATCGTTAATAATGCGAAACCGAGGGCTAATCGCTATACTACGCGACGAATCACCCGACGAAATTACTAAACACTCTAAATCTGAGAACGAAGCGATTCAGGAAAGGACGACGAAGAGAAGGCTCGAAAAAAACTGATTAATATCAAATAAGCGAATATATTTGTAGCGAAGAGTTATATAATAAAACTGTTGCAAAACGACATTTTGGAAGAATTGGTTGAAGATCCCCGGCTACCCCACATCCCGTGCCGCGCCGGGCACAACATATGCATCGGATAAAAAAAAGTGGGTAATGAAAGTTGTTCGTTTCGAAGGGGGACATCCAATGATACCAAACTTGAATGGAAAACCCCATTCTCCCCGATTTGTGAGAGGCAAGGAGACTCACTTAAAACAAGCATCCCAAAGGGAACAGAAAAATACTACGTCCACGTTGTTCCTGGGTAATGCTAAAAGTAGTTTTTAGTTCATTGATAAACGAACCAATGAATTTTTTCAACTGCTTCGATTGCAGCGATATCTGTAAAAGAAATTACAATAATATCAAATCAATGGAGAACCAAGATTTGCTATAAAAAAAGGGTTTCCCATTGAAGATTTTGAAATAATTTCCTCTCTCACCTCCAGGAGGTGGGGGTAGGGGGTCAATTATGGTGTCATTGAATAGCATTTTTAAAAATATCAAATACGTCTACTTTTATTTTTCTGATCTGATGTGTATTTCTCGAGATATCCCCAATTTTCAACGATTTTTTACCCATTTTGATTTTTGTCGATTAGCCATCTGTGAATCAAAATGCAAAAACTCGTCAAATTGGGGTACTTTTTTCTGGAGAATCCAAATCTGCAATAAAAAATGGAGGTTCCCATTAAAGTTTTTTATCTTCTCTCATCCCCACCCCCAGAGGTGGCGGTGGGGGATCGAGTTTGGTATCATTGAATGTCCCCCTTCGAGACGAACAACTTTCATTACCCACTTTTTTGATCCGATGCATAGTTCTCAAGATATTTCAGTGTCTTCAAATAAATCGGCCAACCTGTACGTAAAACTGATCAATAACATTACCTCAATAATAACATGTTTGCCATCAATTGCTCCTATGCAATGATTAAAATTCCACCTCTCTTCAAATTCTTTAGCAAGATGCAGCCATTCCTCTGTAGTTTTTGATGGTGGAATCACTTCCTGACGGATTGAATTCCATATAGCATAGCAAGTTTCCCCTATAATGTGGCTTATTGTCGATACTTCAGCGAGATAATGATATGACATTGAATGCATTGAATCACCACTTGCTAAATATCTAAATATAATTTGATTAAATGATTATTTTTTAAATTCATGACATAATGCAATTATAAATAAGGACAAACAAACCTCAGTGTTATAGATAGTCGCTCTGCAGTTATTTACTGAGTTACTCTAGTTGACTCGAGCCGTTCAGAAAACATCGAGTAGATTCTATAACAGCGCTCAGAAACGTATTCGAGTTAACTCAAGAGTTAACTATTCCTACCCGTGTCATGAGGTAGATAAGTTTTACTCGACATGCACATTACGCACAATTACGCATGTTCCCAACAGTTCCTAAAAGAAAACAAGAGCAGTTTGTAAAAATGTCTAAAAGTGATCCATTTATTTTGTAACTGATAGAAAAGGAATAAAATTGTCAATAAAGATGGTTTAGCACTCGCTCAAAATATGACAGGTTAGGTCACAAAAATAATTACTAAAAGCTAACAAAATTATTAGTTATATCGATTCTTGTAGCGATTTTTTCTATAATCTGCAAATTAAACCACAATTTTTAACTAATCATTATAACGAATTATTTACAATAAGAATTTAAAACTGTTGGAAAAAAATATCAATTGGTATATAAGCTGAATTTCTTTGTATTAATTTGTACCAATCTTACACTGCATATTTTATTCGTTTTTCATGTGTACATAATAATTTCTTTTCTTTTTTATTTCATTTTAGACAAATCTTTTATATATATAAAGCCTGTTGCGAGGACAGTAGCAAATACTATACAACCATTAAAAGAAAAAAACACAAACATTGTTGCGATGAATATTGGAAATATCAGCATTCAGATGCAATCCACTGTACAATCACAATGTGAAGGATCTAATCACTGTAATTCAAATGTTCAGATCGAAAACGAAGAGACAATTGATAAAGTAAATTGGTTGCATGATGCTATTTTAGCATTAATGGTTGCATACAAAGATAATGTGAGCAACTTTTAAATGAATACTAGAGGTCATAATGAAATATGGAAAAAAATTTCTGCTCTGTTGAATGCGTGTGACCACAAATACACTCATAAACAGTGTGAGAATAAATTTAAAAATTTAAAAAAACGGTACCACACAAAAATCGATAACATGAAGTCAAAACAAAGTGGAGCGTCTTGTTATCCATTTGATCATTATTTTGATATATTTTACGATATATTTGGGCATAAGCCAAACCAATTGCATTAGCCTCTTCTACAAGAGGGTCTGCATCCCTCATGTTTGACACAGTTAACGAAGAAGCCATATTTAATGATGAGATTAATCAAAGCGACAGTTCCACCAACGATGAAAATGGAAAAAAACGTCGCTCAGAGACTTTAACTCAAAACAAAGGAAAAAGAACAAAGTTGTCGACGAGATGAAAAAGACAGCCGATGAACAGATGAAATCACAAGATCTTAGACAAGAAAAATTGGTAGCTGCTTTTGATAGACAAACTGACCGCTTAGTTTGTTCAATAGAAAAACTTATCGATAAGTTGTAGAGTCTACAATTTGTTTCTAACATAAAATATATGTGCATCTTTTATCTTTGCAGTATTATTAGATGTTTATTCATGTATTATTAGATGTAATATTTCTTTGTTTTTGTTAAAATATATATAATTTCATGCCCATGTTCTGAATCCTCTTTATTGATAAAAGTGCCCCTAAAAGTAGTTCATATCCAATCAGAAAGTTTATAAGTCATTTTTATGAATTTTTACTTTTATTGATAAAAGAGAATTCAGAATATGGATCAAGTATATAACACGTTATGTTAAAAATTTTATGTTATGTTTTAAAAACTTTGTTATAAATTTTTAATTCAGGTAAACATTTTTTTTGTTTAAAAATATGTTAAGCTAATCTCTAATAGCACACGTCCAAAAGATGCCTAAAAAAACATTCAAAGAATATCCTCTCTGGGTATCGTTTGGACATCTTTTGAACATGTATGCTATTAGGAATTTTGTATTAGTTTTTCAATATGCAAATAATATGTCACGAGAAGTTCGTTTCAAAGGTTAAACTTATGATCTCAATATTTTTTTAAGGATGCAATATTGAATTTAATTTTTTTATCTGTGTAAAAGAATATAATATATATTACTGTTCATTATTGATATATTGATTTGGAAACTTGTGATGTAATTGTGAGTTATACAATAATACTCTCATTACATTAATGCCAAAGATTATTATTTTATATGTTTATTCCAAAAATTAGTTATATATAATATAAAATTCATTTAAAATTATTTTATTTATTATATTAATTAAAAATCATATTATTTTTCAGCAGTAAGATTAAATATATAATTTTCTTATCTTTTTCTCAAAATATATATTATTATATATTTTATTTCCTATATATATACTTTTAAAAATTTTAAGAAATTGAAAGCGCTATTCATTGTATGTAACAGAAAGGGAAAATGTGATAAAACTAATAAAGAGAAGATTTCTATCTATTTGTGGAAAATATATATTACAACTTTATCAATTCATTAAATATTTTTATTTCGTACAAAAAACATTGATCAAAGCACATGGTATTATACATTTTATTACTTCTTACGCATAAAAACTTTAATCAAATATTGTATTTTATATCTATCCATATATACAGGGTGATCCAAAAGTATGGAAACGGCCAAATAACTGTGGAGGAATGCACTTTGGAGAAAAAAGTTTGAGACAAAAGTTGTAGGATTTTTTCCGGGCAATCCGACGGTGACCTTAGATTTGACCTTGGATAGTCATTTGAAGGTCACATAAAGATTACCTTCAATTTCTTAAATGGAACCCCCTATTTTTCATTGCATATTCTTGTAGCTTATCTCGAGAGCTTTCCAAAACACTATAATTAAGTACCTTTTTATTAAGTACTTTTTGAGTTATAAGGCTTGAAATAATTTCTTAATTTTACATAAACCATAAAATATCTAGTAAACCATTCATTTTTCGATTATCTTACCTTCATACTTTTATGTACAAAATAATGAGAGGAATCAATTGGTGTAAAGAAAACACATAGTTGTTTCTAAGAAAAAATATGTAATTTGCAATTAACAATTCCATATCACCGAGATATGGCCTGAAAATATTTTCTGGCCTCTCGTAGTAGAAAGCAGTAATGCAACTAGATTAATGGGCGCCCACTTTTTGTGAATTTTATATTTGCATATATACATGTGTACATATGTATATATATGTTTAAATTATAGTTCAAATTATGTATGCGACTAAATATTACATGATGATGAATAATAACTGTGGAATTATAGGTTACAGGATGAATAAATATACAATATGTAAGACACGGGTGCCTATTAGACTTGGTAATTCGTCGGTTTCTCAAATTATCGATACTTTGTACATCGTGTTAGCGGTACAGAGAGATAACATGATGTCAATATTTATTTGAAATTATATTATTAGCAATCTATAATCTATAATTGTAGTTTTATAGATTAATAATATTTTTTCAATTTTATCGTTGTATCATCATATGACACATACTGTCATATAAATTATACAATAATATTTATTTATATAATATTATATAATATAATATTTATATAATATTTATATAATATTATATAATATAATATTTATTATAATATTGGTAACATGAAAGCATTTGCAAGAAGCACTTAATGGCGATACGCAAGGTGTTTGGTCTATCACCCTGTAGACCCAGGTTCGAATCCGTATGCTCCAACAATTTTTTGTAATATATTTTATTAATTTTTTGTAATATATTTTATTAAAAACAACATATTTTATTACACCGTTTTATAATATTTTTTGTAAATTGAAGAATAATTTTTAAAACATTGAAAACATTTTTGCTTATTTATAATTACATATATTAGGTAGTAAATTTAGTTTCTGCGATTTTTTTGCTTAAAAACTCATTTATTTCGACATCAAAAGCAAAAAATACATTAATCAAAGTATTTACCCTTGCTAATTATACATTTTTCCCATCTTTCTGGCAATAAGTAGATTCCGCGACGATAGAACAATTGGTCTTTTGAAGCAATCCATTCATTTATCCATTTTCGCACATCCTCGTAATTTTTGAAGTGTGTATCCACCAAGCCGTGCTGCATTGATCGGAACAAATAATAATCTGGAGGAGCAAGGTCTGGTGAATACGCTGGGTGCGGAAGAATTTCCCACTCGAGCTGCATCAGTGTTTCCTTGATGGATTTTGCAACATGTGGTCGAGCGTTGTCGTGCAAAAGCATAACTTTGCGTCGATTGTTGGCTACTGCTGGCCTTTTTTCTATCAATGCTTCATTCAGACGGGTCAATTGTAATTGATATTGATCCCCCGTGATACTTTCATTCGGTCTGAGTAGCTCGTAGTAAACGCCTTATCATACCAAATGCAGAGCATTGCTTTGGCCATGGATATTTCGCTTTGGTATGGATGTTGATGGTTGGCCGGGGTCCACTTATGATTTTTTGCGTTTGGGATTGTTAAAATAGATCCACTTTTCATCGCCAGTCACAATGCGCCATAAAAAAACTTTTTTTTCTGCCTGATGAGCAGAGAAATACAGATGTTTAAGCGATTCGCAATGGCATTTTCGGTTAATTCGTGTGATACCCATTTTCCTTCCTTTTGAATTTTTCCCATTGCAAGTAGACGTTTGGAAATAACCATCGGAGTAACATTTAATACTGCAGACAATTCTTTGAGCTGAGTTTTCGTCCAATAATGCTTGTAATTCGATGTCTTCAAATTTTTTCGGTTGACCTAAGCGTTGTTTATCATTCACATCATAATCACCACTCTTAAACCGCTGAAACCATTCTTGGCATGTTCTTTCTGATGGAGCACAATCGCTATAAGCTTCGACAAGCAATTTATGAGCTGCAACTGAGTTTTTTTAAAATCAAAGTAATGAAGCAGCACATGTCGAAAAAACAACATATCACGTTCCATGTTTAATCAAAAGAAAAAAATAATACTGTTCGC